CCTCCAGCTTTCCAAATGCCATTTGCTGCTTTATTTTTCATCATAACATGTATTATCATCTATTATGCTAAATATTTACTCATATATTTTGTTCATTAGACAAATGGACTATGGGTTCCTTGAGGTCAGAGATGTTTTTGTGTGTGGTTTATCCCCAGTGCTTAAAATAATGTCTGGAAGTCAATGTTTATAAAACAAGGGAATCTCTCTCTCTCTCATCTACCATAATTCTATCATTGTTTATCTATCTGACCTATCATCTATCTATTAACTCAGGGGTTCAGACAAAACCATGAAGTGGATTTTTCTTATTCATTCACAAAAAAAAAAAAAAAAAAGCTAGACAGAAGGTGTGCATTTTTTTCATGTTTTGCCAATGAAATTTGGATTAGCACTGGCTTATTTGGAACCAGATCTTTGTGCTGACTGCAGGGATAATTGCTTAACCAAGTGTAAGCAAACACTTTGAAATCCTACCCTCCCTGGCGTGCAACGTTCAATGCTTTTATTGCCTTTTAAGAAAGCCAATCTTAAAATGTGCTGTGATCAGTTTAAGGTAAGTGGCAACGTTTTAAGTACTTATTACCCATTAGCACTGTTAGGGGCTCAGATAATACTCCCAAGTATTGGCCTTTAGGGTGCTGAGTACTTTGAAATAAAGGGGATTGGAAAATCTCAAATGCCATTTCTACATGCCTATTCATTCTTCACTGAAACTAAGCATAGAATTAGAAAGATTCCCCTGAGTTCTTGGGGGGACTCATTTTTGAATACCCATGTCATATAAAACTTGGATCAAATAACATTGTTTTGCTTTCCTGTTGCTGACTTGTTTTTTTGTTATAGGAGTGTCAGCTGTGATCCTTCTGATGGGTGAGGAAACACACTGCTTCACAACACCTGTTTATGAAATGAACCAGGATGTCCCAGGACAAAGCCCAGAGACAACAGGACAAAGGACTAACATTAGTCGATGTGGAAGCTGGAAAGGACAGGTGAGGAGGAGAGAAGCAGAGCATGAGACCTGGATACCCAAAGAAGAAGTTATGAATACGGAGTGAACCTACTTCACACGTGTGCAAAGTTACAACTTAGCTCTTAGTTCAGTATTTTTTTTCTTTTCTTTTTTAAGGCCTCCTTTTAAGTTTAAATCTGGCCCAGCATATGTTTTTGTAAATAAAGGTTTGTTGAACATTTATCTAACATCTGTGGCTACTTTCTTTTTCTTTCTTTCTTTCTTTTATTTGTTGCAGTTTGGCTGGGGCTGGGTTCGAACCCTCCACCCTCCCGTATATGGGACCGGCGCCCCCCTCACTGAGCATCAGGAACCGCCCATTTGTGGCTACTTTCTTGTTATTTCAGCAGAGTGAAGTTTGCAACCAAGAGCACGTGGCCCCAAAGCCCAAGCTGTACATTGTTTGGCTCTTTACAAAAAACAAGTTTGCTGGTCCCAGATGTGGCTGTGGCTACATTTTGCTGAGATTGGCCTTGAGAAAGCTGACACCGCTGAATGTACCCCACACTGCATCTGGGGTTCAGCTTCTCAGCTCTCTTTGATGAGCATGAAAGGACAGAAGCCAGGCCTCTGCCAGGGGTCTAATGAAGCAGAGGGGATTTCCAAGAGGCAGCAATTTCTCATTGTCTAGGGTCACCTCCAAGTACGGGAATCAGAGACAAGTCAGTGACTTGTGGAAAGAGAGAGAAGAGATGAGGCAAGACGAAACTTGACTCCTAAGAGTTCTCTGGAGTCTTTCTGCATCTTAACTTCTGGAGGACAGAATTCTGCCTGCCAGTATTTCGTGAATTGGATTTTGTCCTTAGAGGGATGCACACTGCTCCCATTGACTTCTATGGGAGTAATGGGCCATTTGATCCCAGGACATCTGTGCTGGCTTCAGGCTATTTAACAAACTCCTAAACAAATCCCAATAAAGTCTCTTTAATGGGTACTTAATTTTGATGGGGGGGGGAGGGAGTAGGTGCTGAGCCCACCTAAGTCCTTTCCTTTCCTGCAGGTTTTCTAAGTTTTCTTCTTTTTATGGTGTGGTAATTACCGTAGCCGAGAGCCCTGAGTCTAGTAGTATTAAGCCCATGCAAAGTCAAAAGCTTTCTCCTTTTATTGATCTCAGTTGACCTGTTTACTCTCTGGGTTCCAGTTTAATGGCTTAATTGATTATTCATTTACATTTTTAATGTCTTTGTGGGCAAATTCATTTTAACATGAATCATCTCTAAATTAATAGAGGACACACAAAATCAGTTTGGATCTCCAATTTTAGCAAGTACTTACTGAGCTCAAGTGAATTTAACAGGGAGGAAATGAACACTTCAGCTGTGGGTAAAAGATGGTAGAAATGATGGTTTGATGTGTCTGCTTGGTAAATGGCCCTCCCAGACGTGTGGCTTATCTGACGCCACAGGGTACTTAGGATATCAACTTCTTCCTCACCTGCTAATTGTGTTTGGTCTGAATACAATTTGAAATCTGCAGGGCCCACATCTTTTGTCGAACTATTCCTTAAATCCAGATGTTTCAATATTATTAATTGATTATTAATTGATTTTTCTTTAGATGATCCTACTTTGCTGGAGATGGTAGTGAGAGAAGATTATACCACGGACAGCACACCATAAGGAAAAATAATAGTGTGATTGTATTACCTCGTGAAAATTTCTATTTAACCAAGGTAGGCAACACGTAAGATCTGACTACACTTGTATTTACAATATGATATTCTTACCTCCCGGCTGTCTCTGTATGCTTGTGGAGTTCATTTGATAATGTGTCATTCCTTCCCAGCAAGCAACTGAATCCCTAAATATGCAACTGCCTGTGGCTCATCCTTTCCAGTAAGACTGTTCTGAATATCTTTATAAATTATACACCCAATCCCCTACCACCTTCACTTCTTTCTAAAATGAGATGAGGCATAAGAAAATACATAAATGCATATTTCTAATCATACCAGTCACTTTTATCTGACAATATGAAATGGAACCGAGGAGATGCGCTGCTCGTCCTCCCGGGAATAGTAAGAGCTGGTGCTTGGGGAGAAGGGCAGTGAAAAATGAAATAGCATTTGAAGTTTGAAAGTGCCTCACTTTACTAATTTTTTACTGGTAGTTTTATTAATTCTGTTGCCAAAGTTGTAATCAAAGAAAGGAGCTGATGTCAGTCCTTGGAGAAAATAATTTCAGACTGTCAAGAGTATTATTCCTTCCACATGGAATACTGAATACTTTCCTCTGTGCTGGGCCTGTGATAGCAGATCGCAGACATAAATAAGGTAACAGTCCCATTCTGAGAAGTTCCCAGAGTCACAGACATGTGAACAGATACCAGAAATAGAGCGTGTGATGGGATGCTTCTGTTTGCAAAGTGCTGGTGAATGATCTGTTGGTTTCGGAGAGCTTTCGGGGGAGGCAGAGTGTGAGGACGGTCCTGGAGAATGGGGAGTTCAGAACCGCCAGGACTGTGCTGAGGACTATCCAAAGGGAGGGCCCAGCCTCAGAAAACAGCCAGGAAGAACTGGGGGGTATTTCAGAATGGTGGGCTCTTCATAGCTCCTGTGAGAGAGAGTATAGGCAGTGGAGGGGGCTCGTTCTGGGTTCGTAAAGATGAAAATGGCTGGATGGTGATGAGCTTCGAATTAGAAAGGTTTGAACTTTCTTAGGAACAATGGAGAATCACTGGCTGACTTTAACCTAAGTGAAAGGAGGCTGAACTCTGATAAATACTGAAAACTAGTGTATTTTGCTGTTTATAATATGCACTATTTTGCCCCAAATAAGGATGCACTTTATACCTGGGTAGTACCGCCTGAGAGCAGGGCACCCAGCAGGCCTCCTGGGGCTATTGAGCCCTCCTCCTTGGGCCCACTGGGTGCACAGGGTTCCAGTCGGGGAGGATCCGGGATTCAGTGAGAGCAAGCCTCTGGTGCGGTCAGGGGAGGGGACAGTGGCAGAGCTGGTGAGGCAGGCAGGTGAGGCCATGTGAGATAAGGGCTGAGGCCCAAGTCCCAGGTGCATGGAGGAGCCCAGGAACACCACACAGGCCCTAAGCGACCGGTCTGGATGCTGATGGGCTGAGCAGCCTCAGAAGCTCCCACCCTTCCAGCCATGAATGCGTCCATGTTGGCCACAGCCCCCAGTGGGCTCCTGGGAGAGAGGGAAGGGGCAGCCTTCCCAGAGCAGGCATTTGGAGGAGGGTGGTACAATCTGCATGTTTACCAGGGCAGCGTTAGCTCTCTCAGGAGTGTTTCTCCCAGCCGAGAGCTGGCCATTTTCTCAAGGGGCATTTTCCTGAAAGTTTGGGCCAAAAATATGGTTATAGCTATACACAGGAGGGTGTGATATATGTGGCAAAATACGGTAGAAGGCAGAGCAGGAGGTGCCAGTTATAGCAGCTTTACACAGGGGAGACCCAGACAGAGTGCCTCATGAGGGCCAGGTGTGGGCAGCCACATTTTCACCCTGAGTCCTCCACCGAGCAGGGGGAGCGACACAGCTGCGTTAAGCACTCATCACCAGGGCTCAAAGTCCTGTTCCCAGGACATGCTCCACTGTATTGGTACAATCTCTGCCTGAATCCCTCTTTGTTAACCTTTAGAAATTTTCTAGACATTTACTTATCTACTTATGGCGTTAGAATTGTATTCCACGGTCATTTGCAATTGTGGTCACATTCTTCATAAAGAGAGCAAAAATTAAATTACATCTTTAGTATATTCTGATTGGATCACAACATATATCAATAAGGTAATATTTCTTTCAACAAATCCCCCTAAGCTGGATGATAAAAGAATCATTAAAAAGGATCAAGGAACCAAAAGAAATATGATTAGATGCCCATGGCATTCCTAAATGACTTCATAAGGCTTATTTGTATATAAGACAGCATTTTCACACACTCCATCAGACCAGTCTGCTGCCATTGAACACTTCAGTTCCCTTGGTTCAGAGCATAGCCAGCCAGGTGAGGTCTTGTGCGAGTCTCATACCTGTGCTGTCTTCATACACCACGGTCACTGTTTTCCAGTTGTAATAGAGGACCAGATCCAGGATCGCCCTGCTGATAGCCGTGTAATCTGGGTAAAGGTTGATGTAAAATAAGTCTTTGTTGTCCACCGAGGGGTGCTTCCAGCGTGTCTGTATGTGTGGAACTTCAAGAGCATTGCAGATGGACTGCACGGCACTGACCGAGGAGCTGTGGGAAGGGCCAAAGAGAGCAGCCACACCGAGAGCCAGCTGGTCACACGCTGTCCAGGGCAAGAAGGGGATGGGGAGAGAGGACAGGGCAGGGTGAGAGAAAGAGTTCTGTGAATTTAATTGTTTCTTTCATGATTCCACTTTTTGATTTAACCATTAAAAAATCTCCTAAACTCCCCATTTGCACATGGAGGAAAGATGCTTGGTCCAACGTCCAATATTCTTTTTTTTTGGCCGGGAACCTGCCACCACCTCCGGTATATGCGGCTGGCGCCCTACTCCTTTGAGCCACAGGCACCACCCTTATTCTTTTTTTTTTATTTTAAGATTTCAGATTAATATGAGGGTACAAACTATTAGGTTACATTGCTTGTGTTTGTTAGGTAGATTCCAGGTTGTAGTTGAGCCCTTAACCCAGGGAGTGTGCTGTATACCCTTACATTGTGGGCATTAGGTGAGAGCACACCAAACCCCTTCCTTCCTCTCCTCTTCCTCCTCTCCTCTCCTCTCCCCTTTCCCTCCTTTTCCTCCCCCTTTGAATTTAATTGTGTTTTTCTCTCCTGTGAGTTGCATAGTTGTTGATTGGGTTTCATATTAGTATTAAGTACATTGAATACTTGCTTTTCTATTCTTGTGATCCTTTACTAAGGAGAATGTTCTTCAAAGATGGAGACTTTACAACTTCCAGCATCTCTGAGGTACTAAGATCCTGAGGTACTAAGATTGTAGAACTGATTAGCAATACATCACAGGACCAACTCACTCAAATAAAAATGAGTTGCCAGTCTCACTTCCTTGGCTAGCTAACCAACAAGCCATTTGCCAAATGAATGTCATATTATTTAAGTTTTGTAACATGGCAGGTGGCAATTAAAATATCAATGTGTTACAGAAATCAAAGGAAAGATCCACTGGGTACCTACAAAGTATGTTAGCTCCTGTCTTCCCCAAACTCAGAAAGGAGTTTCAGGCTATTAAAATATTGCAAAAGAATGTTCATAAGTAGTGCTGATATCTAATTCATTATTGACTAATAGACTAGCATTGCTTTAAAGGGATCTTAGAAGGCGTTTGGTGCAACCCACTCTTTCAGAGACAGTAGAGTGGGGCACAGCCACTTTACACTGGGGGAGATCAATCAATCAGCGCTCAGGGGCTCCCGCTCAAAGGCAGGTCTCTTTCTACTTGAGCACCAGCCAGCTGACAGCCTAATGAAAGCCCCATTATGTACTTAAAATTTATTTATAGCATATATTTATTTCTCTCATTTTAAGGTTATATGTACTCATTGAGAGAATGTAGAATACTCAAAATGCAAGTAAGGAGAAAAGTCCCATTACCTTGAGGTAATATTTATTAATGTTTTGGAGAATAAGAATCAGTATATGTATCAGTTTGATACATTTTTTTTTTTTTGGAGAATAAGAATCAGTGTATGTATCAGTTTGATACAATGTTTTTCTTCATTTAACCCGATAGCATGCCTTTCCCCCCAATCATTACTAGTTCTTCAAAAGTCTATTTTTAGTGTCTACAGGGGAGACCATCCCATGGGTATCACGTTTATTTAACCATCCCTATAATATTAAACATTCAAACTGCTCCTCATTTTTGGCTATTTTAAGTCATCTTATAGTACTTACCTCAGGTTTTTATATTTTCCCTATGCATCTTAGTTTAATTTCTCAAAGCAGATGTCTAGTGGTTGAATTACCAGCTATGGCTAAAGGGTATTGATATATTTTAAGTTGTTTTAGATGTACTAACCACATTCCCTTCCAGAAAGGTTGGGACAGTTTATTCATGTAAACTGCCGTCTATTAATCTTATGCTGGTAGGCACGAAATATAAGTTTAAACATATTTTAAAATTTATATTTTGTTTCTATTTTAAAGGAATTTATAACTCCCAAGAGAAAATAATGGAATATAAGAATCAAACAATACCTAAACATATACATGATATTGTGATTTCTATAACGGTGTCATTCTACCAATAAAAATAAGTAAAAGATCTACATGACTCTGTAAAATTATCTGACTTGATTCGCAAAGAATAACTGACGAAGTTTTGAGAGGCATATTGCAGATATCTGAGAGACAGCAACGGTTAACAGTCATTTACAAAGAAAACTTCCTGATACTGTTTCTTTAGCACTGAATCACTACCTCAACCGGGAAGGTGTGTAGTTTTCTGCATTCCGTGCTGTACGTGTAAACTGTCATTGCCTTCAGCAACTTCTTTTCTGGATATGTTTTCATTAGTTAGCAGATAAAATAAGAGCATGGGAGTGTGAGAACTGTTCGTTCATTCAACATGAGCAATGGATGGAGATTCTTGCTAATGTTTAGCTCTGGGATGCTAATATTGCTTGACAGAAAATCAATCTTTTTGATTTTTGTTTGCCAGCAAATTACCAGTTTTAAGAAGCTTGGGGGATGTTTAATTTACAAGTGTGGCAGGTACTTCAGATCACAAGAAAGCTTTCATTTTTTATGTGGGTTGGCGTTTCATAGCTCAATGTGGTTGGTTTTCTAAGTATTTACTCAGCAAGGTGTATGTGTGCTTGTGTGCGTATGCTAGAGAAAGAAGTGATGGATTTATCTCCGCATTACACCAATAATTTATGTGAAGATGGCTTACAACTTTAAAATGCTGTATAAATACAAGGTTTTATTATTTGTTCATAGACAACTTTAACTATACACTGTCTCTAACTCCAGCTGTCTTAAGAAAGAGAAAATATTCTGTGGCTCAGTGAGTAGGATGCAGGCCCCATATTCTGAGGGTGGCAGGTTCAAACCCGGCCCCAGCTGAACTGCAACCAAAAAATAGCCGGGCGTTGTGGTGGGTGCCTGTAATCCCAGCTATTCGGGAAGCTGAGGCAAGAGAATTGCTTAAGCCCAGGAGTTGGAAGTTTCTGTGAGCTGTGTGACGCCATGGCACTCTACCAAGGGCAACAAAAAAGTGAGACTCTGTCTC